TGCTTATTTTTCACTATTTTAACCTTCACAGGGGCAACGGTATCCAGAACATTCAAAACACTAGAGGTGACAGAGTTAAACAGTTCATCTACAGTAGAATACGATGCATTCTCAAAGTTTATCATTCCCATAAATAGTTCACTCGTATTTTCATTTATGCGCCTTCTTCGAACAGTTGCAGAGTCCACTGGTGGTTTGTTAGTGAAACACATGTCAAAAAAAACACAGAAATGATCCGAAAGAGCAACATCGACCACGTTTACATTTGAAATATTCACCCCCTTTGTAACTAACAGATCTAGAGTGTGCCCTCTGCTGTGGGTGGGGCCACTTACGTGCTGAGTGAGATCAAAGGATTCAAGTACAGAACTCAGCTCATTTGCATTTCTGTCATCAACATTATCCACATGAATATTAAAATCACCTGTAATAACCAAACTATCAAAATCTGTGCATACAACTGAAAGCAACTCGGTAAAATTATCAATAAAACTGTGACATGACTGCGGTGGCTTGTATAGGACAATGAAGAGTATTGGAGGAGATTGTTTTTGTTGTATTTTTAAAAGACACATATTCAAATGACGAAAACTTCCCAAGAGACATTCTATGGGAGACAAAGTGGTCTCTAAAAATGGCAGCTAAGCCTCCTCCTTTTTTGTTTTCCCGTATTTCAGATTCAAACTTGAAATTTGGTGGTGATGCTTCTATTAAAACTGCATTTTCTGAATTTTGGTCAAGCCAAGTTTCAGCCATGAACATAAGATCAAGATTATGAGAACAAATAAAATTATTGATTAAAAAAGACTTGTTACAAAGAGATCTGACATTAAGCGTAGCAAGTTTCAAAGTTTCAGTATCATCGGTTGCGGTCGGGTGATTCTTACACGGAACAAGAATTAGATTTTCCAGATTAGACTGATTAACTCCAGATGTTTTTCTGTAATGTATTCTTTGTGTTATCACTAAGGGAATGGCACAGGTGGCTTCATGACAGGGCCCCAGCCGGGTCTCTCCTCTAACTAGACTGCCAGTGGCTGCGAAGCAGAGACCCTGTGCATCCTAGTGTTTAGAGAAAAGAGGGGAAGGGGAAGGCAGGGGAGGAGGATGGAGAGGTGGGTGGCTTTTGGGTGTTGAACGAGGGGGGCAGGGAGGTGGAGGGGTTTTAGGTGATGGGTTAGGGCCGGGGTGGGCTGAGGCAGAGGTTTTGGATGTTGAACGAGGGGGAAGTGGGGGTGGAATGGTCATGAGGTTAGGGGAGGGACTGGCTGAGGTGGTTTTTGTAGGTGAATTGGAAACCCTAGGTGGTTTTGGAGGTACATATGGGGAGTGGTTTAGCATGTTGGACAGGACTCTAGATCGAGCTAATATGGGTGTGAGAGGAATAGTCTTCATGGCCAATTTTATTAGCCCTGCAGAGTGTTCAGGTAGGTCTAACAGTGAAGGCGGGGATGAAAAACAAAGGGAGGTGTCCCCATTCTCTCTTGATGGAGTGGACGTGGCAGGGGGGACCCAAGACAGGTCCATGGGAGGTGGCGAGGGAGTCTTTGATGGAGGGGCAGGTGGTTGAGGAAACCCCAGCACAGGCCTGTCTGCTGTAGGCTGGGGTGAGGATGGGGGCTTCAGAGGCGCTGTAGATGAAGAAGGCGTGGCTGCTTTGGACCAGGCTGGGGATGAGGATGTTGGTGGTGGTGGTCGTGCTGCTGGTGCTGCTACTGGTGATGATGCAGCTGCTGCTGGTGATGATGCAGCTGCATCTGATGACAGTGGAGGCCTTTGAGGCGGTGATGGTGTTGAGATCCTTCGAGGTGGTGGTGGTGTTGAGATCCTTCGAGGTGGTGGAGGTGCAGAGACTTTTGGAGTCGGCTTCCTCCCTTTCGATGGCTGCACGCGCTGCGCAGGCTGAGGTCTCAGGGCAAAAGAAAGGTTATCCATCAACACTTTTACTCCGTAAGTGTTCAGATGTGGCCCTTTCCAGTATGGCCTGGAAACCCCAAGGTCTAAGTGGTGAGAGAGTCTGAAGGTAAAGGAGACAGTAGTGAGAGATTCTGAAGGTAAAGGTGACAGTAGTGAGAGAGTCTGAAGGTAAAGGTGACAGTAGTGAGAGAGTCTGAGGGTAAAGGAGACAGTAGTGAGAGAGTCTGAAGGTAAAGGTGACAGTAGTGAGAGAGTCTGAAGGTAAAGGTGACAGTAGTGAGAGAGTCTGAGGGTAAAGGTGACAGTAGTGCCCGTGGTGATCGGTGCACTCGGGGCACTGAACCTCGGACATCTCGGTCCAGAAATGTGCAGTGCTAGGAACAGCAAAGATACTGCGCAGAACCCTCAAGCTCCCAGGCCTCTGGTAGAAGACCCGAGCTTAGAGAGGGATAACCACCCGCGGAGGGCCAATGGTGAGTTGACAATTTTTTTAAATATTATATATATATATATATATATATATATATATATATGTAAATGTATGTAAATATATACAGTGCCTTGCGAAAGTACCTTTCAACAT